ATATATATAAAAATAAATATAATCTTATTTTAAAAAAAAATTCTATTAGGCCTGGCTCTGCCTCCCTCTCAACATAGGGCTCTAGTTATTAAAACCCATCTTGCAGCAAAATTGGAGTCCTTTGTTTTCTACTGAGATGTTGCTTTGCATTAGCTGAGCTGTGGATAGTTCAGGCAAAGCTTGAAGGAGTTGCATTAGCGGCACGAGGTGGCTGAGTTCCCAGTGTGTTACTAGCCTGAGCAGTGCTTTAAGCTGCTTTGTCTGTGACTCCTCATTGACTAACTGGTTCACGTTTAAAGGCTTTACCCTTGCGTTAAAGTGTTTGTGTGTGAACAGGATTTCAGCTACAGAATCCAGATTGTGCTGCAGACTGACGTTTCTGTTAAGATAAGTGTGTTGTGTTTTGGCGTGCCCACCGATGAAATTTTGCATGCGTTACTGCTGTCATGTGCAAAGTCTTTCTCTCCTTTTCTTATAGTCGAACATGGATGTCCAGCAACATCTTGATCAGTTCCATTATTGTAGCACATCATCCTGTCTGTGCCCCTCCAAACATGAAAACTTGCAGCTCAGGTGTTCTGGTTCTCATTTTATGCAGCCCATGCGTGAAAATTGCTGCTCTGTGTTCTGAGAAACTTGAGGACAGCTTAGCATCGTATACCACCCACTGCAGCTCACGTCCTTGCAAGTATGAGGAAGAAGTGAGATGCGAACAAGCAATGAAAGCAGAATTATCCTCAGCTTGTCCATTAACGATTTATCTCTTCCATCTGTTCCTTTGGTCCCTTTTCTGACTCCTGCTTTGCAGGCCCTTCTCTGTTAACAGTGTCATTTTGCTTGTGCGTTTTTTTTTCTCCTCTGTCTTCCATGTTTGCCAGAATTTATACCATCTGTCATGTTCCTTGCTTCCTCTTTGCCCTGACCAGTGACCATTTTAACACTTCCTGTGCTAGCTATCTGTACACTATTTGATGCACAGAACAATTCATATATGCTTGTCTTCTGTCATGGCAACGTGGTGATGTGAAAATTTTATCCTGTTTTGTTTTGGGGAGAAGGGATGAGAAAAGGCGTAAGAGGGAGGGAGGAACCTGAGACAGTGACTTGTCATTTGTCGTAAATGAGAACCGTTTCTCCTAGAAGCAGAGTATCTCACTGGCTTTTCCTCCAAGCCGCTAATTGAGCTTGAAGAAGAATAATTGGCCAGTGTAAATGTTTCATGAGTATTTCCAGTTCTTGATGGTTTGAGTAACCTACTGTCTTCAGTCCGTCTCCCAAAATGGAGAACCCTTTTGTAGTTATTCCCCCTAGTTCTGCTGGTTCTTGTTTGTCAGATTATTAATCAACCTGTGATGTCAAAATCTGGCATGCAGTTTTCTTTGTAATGTTAGCAGACTTTTAGCTACTACTTCTGCTCATTAGCTGTGTAGATAATTTGTAAGGGATGCTGAGGCTCCTCTTGGCTAGTGCAGAATTTTTTCCAGCCAGACTTTGCTCTGGAGCTTATAGCTGTTCGTTTTGTAGCTCCTGAATCCTGCTCTGGATATACTCCCTTATATACGTAGGGGGTATTGCTTGCACTGTTCAAGATGGAACATGTATATTGTTAGCCAGCCCACACCCTCAGTCTGTTAGAAGCAATGGAAGATCCATTAAATGACACAAAATAGAGAACCTGGAGAAAGAGACCCTAAACATGTGTGTGTATGTTTCTAAATATTTTGAGGTACGTAGATTATCTTTAATGCTGAAGCTTATACCTGCTGTCATCTTCCTTTAGGGACAAAACATACTTCCTGCTGATGGAAGGATTCTCTCCTTGAGATTTAGGAGCAGGATGATGTTCTTAGTAAGCTCATAATGTTCTCTGTCATCCTGTTTCCTCTTTTCTTTGCTCTTTTATATATCTTTTTGTTAGATTATTACAGAAAGAACAATGTGAACACTGAATATGGCTTTTGTCAGCTAATGAGCAACAGCTAGTAGAGAGATGGCATGTTCCTGCCTTTGTCAGCTAACGAGCAGCAGATGGTGCAGATTCAGAGCATGGCACATCATCTGTGCTAAGTGCTTGGCATGACAGGAGCCAGAGTTACAGACATACCAGATACCCAGAACTCTAGATTCTCCTTCATCACTCTTCTCATCAAGAGTCCTTTCTTTCATGCCAAGTTTGCGTGCTCAGCTTTGAGCAAGGAGTGGCGCACAGTGACCAGCCACGTTAATCCAAAGGCTGAAGAGTATAGGCTGTGGGCTGGAAAAATCTTATACACGGATTGCTGTCCCCAAGGACAGCATGTTCTTGTGTTAGGAGCTTCTGTATCTCACGTTTCCATTTCCAGTTACCACTATTGCTCATTCAGGCCAGAATATAAAGGTGAACTGGTTTCTGATTCAATGATAAAGGCTCTATAATGGGAGCTAACCCTATGGAAAGCTAACCAAGCAACAGGGCATCAGTGATGCACGTAAGAGTGCGCTGCCTACACACTGTTCTTCACCTGCTGTCAAGTGCTGACCTCTGCAGGAACATCTGGAATTAAAGAAGTGAAGAGCTCAGTTCATCACTCTGTCAGCAGATCTTACTCTGACAGCTTCAGGGGGCAGATGTGCTGAGTAGCAGAGGTTAGAGTCTTTACGTGCAAATGCTCCTCCATGGGGGGAAATGTTTTCATTAAATGAAAAGCTTCATGAAAATAGTGGATTTTGACTAGCATTCCCCAGGCAAGTGTTAAAGTCACCTGCCAAGCAGGCTTCCACTGAAGGTCAGCTTAATGTCTTGCCTGGTTGCAAACGCCCAGCTCCTCAGACATGTACTTGCAGGGACCCCCTTGTACTCAGGACTGACAGGTTCTTGATGGCTGCAACCCTGGGTTGCATTCAGCCCAGGATGGTGAGCCTAGCTTTAGCAGAATCCCAAGCCAGCAAGGCTAAGTCTCATAGCCCTGAAGGCCACTACTCAAATTTGGCAGTCTGGGAAGCCAACTAAATCCAGATGTCCGGCAGATCTGGTAAGAACATTTCTGGCTCTGTATCGGGGAACTGAAGCCCTTGGGGCATGCACTGAAGCCAGGACGCTTGTGGCTTTCTGGGTTTTGGTGACCAATACCCTACTCCTATAGAGTGTAAAATAAGTAAATACTGCTAT